TTTCCCTTCCCCTCCTTTGGGTTTGCGCGCCGCCCTGAGTCCCCCCGGGGATAGGGCGGCATATAAATAAAATGAACCTTGAACCTTGGTTGACGGACTCGTAGTAGATTCCATCTCACCCCTGCAGTTCTTATTTTCTCCCTTTCCACCTTTGTATCATAATTTTACATACTCTTATCTAATCAATCTATTGATCGACCTATCGATCCACACATGTATAGATGTATATGTATAGCTTTATTTCTTTTAGATGTATATGTACGGTTTTATTTCTTTTAACCTTGTAAGCATCCCAGAGTCGCCTTGCAGCGAGAGGGCTGGCAACAATTTTAATAAATATAAATGTAGTTAATCATTCAGTAAAACTCCTGTATTATATCACTGATTTCTTGACATTTTAGGAGTTACACATTCTACAAAATGGGCAATCTAGACAACAGAATAGGCAATCCTGATCAACTACTTACACAAGATGTCGAAAAATTTTGCAACAGTGTAGTGGACCTATATTCAAATCTCAGCAAGGTAAGTGTGGAAAAAAAAGTGATTATGTTGTCATCTGCATGTTTAAATATTACTTACATAGTAGCAATTTAAATATTCGTTCTCAGCATGAAACTGAAAAACTGCTGAATTAAAAGATTTCTCTTGCATTTTAATAACTGTTGAACAATAGAGGAAGCGAAAACTCTTGAGAAACTGATTTATATTGTAGGAATTTTTTTAAATACAGATTTTTAGTTTTTTTAAAATTGAATTCGCATGTTCACATAATCTTTGAGAGACTAAGTTATAATAAGACATTTTAGCTATGTTTATTTCAAAAATGTGACATTTTTAAAAATGTCCTTTTAAATAAAAAAAACCATATTGCTTGTTTCTCCCATGACCAATATTTACAATTAAATCTTATTTTACAGCCATTTTTGGATATTGTTCTGTACATCTTTAAACTAACAAGCGCAATAGGAGCACAGGTAAAATTGTATTTTTATTTATGTACTTTAAGTATGGATTATATATTCTCCAATAGGAGAGATGAATTATTGAGAATTTTCTATAATGTAATATTGAGAAGTATTTGGAACTAAAATGACCAGAAATTTAGAATTTTTCAACCATTATAATCTGTCAAATGTGTGTTACATGCTCTATAAACAGATGGTAAATATAATGTGGGATTCTTTTAACAATGTCTTGATAATGTAATCCGTAGATCAGGGGTAGTCAACCTTTTTATACCTACCGCCCACTTTTGTATCTCTGTTAATAGTAAAATTTTCTAA